TATAAAATCACCGAAGTCTACAAGGAGCTCAAGAACGACGAATTTGATTCCCTCAGGCTTATCTCTCCTGAGAGTCGCCACTTTTAGGGTCCTGGATGATGCAGAAGAGAAATGGGTTCAAACAATTCTTGGGAAGGGGTGACGGGAGCACCAATGCCTTTGAATCTTAAAAATCTTACCCTCTACTACACTGTTGTTTATTTCTTTTGTAGGTTTTTCTATTTTTCCGTGTCTTCCAAGGAATTTTACTGGGAAGATACAAAAAGCTAGATCAGAGATTGCTAGCCCGTTGCTATTTGAAACTGAAGGGCTTGTGTTTACTTTCTGTGGAAGTAAATTTCACTTGCAGGAATTTTCTTTTATCTCAGGCATTTTGTTCGTGGAGCCACGTGTAAGAAGCAGCAGCCAGGAACCAGGCCATGGGCCAGAAGGGACAAATGCCAAGATAAAGTAAAGGGAGGTCTAAAGGAGCTTAGGATACCTCACAGTGTGCTCCAAGCCCCACCTGGTCTTATATAAGCAGCAGATAGATGATGGATTGTTTTCCCAGCACGGCTTTGACGAAATACCACCACCTGGGTCACTGGGAGGAAAAGAAATGTATTCTCTCCCAGCTGTGGAGACTTGAGGTCAGAGGCCCAGGTACCAGCAGGGCTGGCTCTTCCTACAGGCTCTGAGGGAGAGCCTGTCCCGCGCCTCCCTCCCAGCTCCTGGTGGTCGCCAGAAACCCTCAACATTCCTGGCTTCGGGGTGCCTCCCTGCAGTCTCCGCTGCCATCTTCTCACGCCACTCTCCGCTCTGTAGGTCCCTGTCTTCCCACGGCCTTCACAGAACGACACCAGCCACTGGATTTAACCCCCGCCTGTCTCCACCTTGTCATAACTGACTGTACCTGCAAAAGTGCTGTTTCCAAACCAAGGCACGTGCTGAGTTCCCAAGCAGGTATGTATCTGGAGGGAGACTCTGTTCCACCTAGTCCAGGCAGAAAAATTTCTTGAAGTCATTCTGTGATTTAAAATGTGACCGTGTTTTTCCAGAAGCTTCCGGATGAGCCACTCTAGATTCTGACCGGGAACTCGAGAGGGACAGTGGGCTGGGAGAGTGGGTCACGCTCTCTTAGCGCCAATTCGTAGGTCAGGTGGCCTTTCGAAAATACAGACGGCCAGCATGTGGCCATCACCACTGCCACTCTCACCCCTCCAGCGTCTGTAGCACCAAGCCCTCTGCCACCTTCCCCTCTATCTAGTCGGCAGCTCCAGGGGAACAAAGCACTAGATTAGAATTCAAAAATCTTGGCTTAAAGTCCTGTTTCAGTCATTTACCATCTGCTGGCCCTGAGCAAGTCCCTTCCTCGAGCTTCAACGTCCTCAACTGTAACATAACCAAACTTAACCATTATTTTTTTACAAGCTTGTGACATTTTGGCCTCCAAAGTTATTAAAACGTACACTGCACTGAGACATCTGGGGCATTGCATTTGGTTGAGGATGTAAGGCGCAGAGTAACATTAGAAATGAATTCATATCTAGAATAGTTAAAATACAAAAGCATGTTGGCGTTTCAAAGAATAAGCTCTAGTTGCCTTGACATGTTGCCTAGAAATGCATCGACAGAGAGCACGGGTCTACCTGGCATTATTCAGGGACGGTCCAGGTCAGCAGACAGAATGCACCACAGTGTACGTAGGTATGTGTACAACTGAGGGCCCGTGGGATAGCGGCCTGGTTGGGTTTTGAGTGCCCCAGAGCACACAGCATGAGGCATTCTCTGTAGGTATTTAATTTATATCTCAGTCGGTAGAAAACAGATGGAGAGGAGAGAGGGAGAAAAGGAATGAGAATCAGCTCATTACAATTCCATCACCTCTCTGAATTCACTTTCCTCTTTCTACAGCAGGGTTCGTAACTCCTCTCCTTGTTAGTGCTAGCCCTGGGCACCTAGCACAGTTCTGGTATTTTCCACATCGTGGAGCTCCAAAGCCCTTAGCACCCTGCCAGCACAGGATAAGGTCACAGTACAGGTCTGTGAAGAGACAAAGGACTGACTATTCCCGACTACCTCAACGGGCTGTTTGGGAACGCAGCTTGTTGTTATTATCTCTGTCACCCTCTCCAGCTGATTAGAAGTTACAGTTCCAATGTGTCTTTTGACAACTTTCTATTCTTTACTTAGCTGTCTCTGCTGTGGCCACTAGATGGTGCAAGAGGAAAGTTTCTTAAAGAAAGAAGGAAAGAGGCTCCCAAGAGGCTGGCAGCAATGTGAGGAGAGCAGCCACCCTGGAGTTAGGTGAGCACAACAAGCAGCCAGCATCTCACTGAACACGTTGGAAGGAATCGAAGCCTCCACGAGGCTGGACTTACAATGACCTTTGAGCACTGGTAGGTACAAAGACAAAAAACCCTGGGCAGATAGTAACAAGATACTGATCCAAAAACAATAGCCTTGAACAAAATATTCTAGGGCACCGTGGAGATAAGCAGCCCCGCTGCAGAGAGGAGGCCCGACCGGACCAGCCAGCACGATGAAGGGTTATCACTGTCGTACTGAGAAACCTGGAGCTGATGTGAAAACTCCACTTGATAGGACAGAATTGCTGCATGTGTCTTTCGGTTTAATTTCATGTAGACTAAAACGCACCCAGTTCTCATTTCGGAGTCAATGTTAGCAAATCCTGGTGTCATCTATTGCAAGCCATCAGGGAATGTTCCCAAAATATTGTTACATGGCAGAACCTGCACTATACAGACATCAGTTTGCTACAGAAGTCAAGAATCCAGAGTTCAGAGTAGGCAGCAGAAAGTAATTAACGTCCACAATGCTGCGGCGGAAAGCCCTGCTGTGATCGGACGGACCACTGCGCACAGAGCACTGGACAAGTCCAACTACTGAGATCCTATGTCTGCCAAGGCTATAAGTGCACTTGCTGGTTATGAGTGGACTTTGTAGCTCTGCCTCCAGGAAGAAAAGGCTACGTCATTCCCGCATAAGCCCTCCTGACCTATGACAGTTACATTTTTCACCGTAACTTCATACATTGGTATTCTGTTCTAAACGTCAGTCTCCTATGAGCTTGGTAAACTCGAATTGCCACCAGGAAAAGGATTCCTCCTGACAAACAAGCCCATTGGCCTCAGAACGCAGATGATGCTGAATTCTGTGTTGAAGGCCTCCTATGGCTGCTCTCGGCAGCCAGCCAAAGCGGTGGCAGCCCATTTTCTACACGTCCTTCTCCCTCTCCCCTGTGGCCATGACTCTCCACCCCGGGTGCCTATCAGAAGGGTCCAGTGCAGCTTCCCAGACTCCAGCCTCAAAGGTTCTAACTCCATAGGTCTGGGGCTGATCCGGGAATCTGACTTCCGAAGAAGTCCAACTGATTGCAGTGAGGTTGGTCTGAAACCTGGGGTGTTAGGGAACCACTCATCTTCTTGAGCACAATTCCACAGGTTAGTCCAGGACCGTAGAGTCATGGAGGGTGTTGTTTGAAAAGGGCCTGCAGATCGATAAGAACTCCTCTCTGCAGCATCCCCACACACTTGGGCTCCCATGGACGCCGGGCAAAAGATGCCAAACCGGAAGCTGCTAGGCCATTAAACCTTAATGAGCATAAGAAACTGGCAAACCTCTGGGAGTTCTGGCCTTTGCTCCAAAGAGTCCCATTAGCTCTGGGAGAAATGGCCCTTTGTAGCCAAAGATGCATAGATGAGACCAAGGCCAGATACATAATTTGTGAGGCCAGTGAAAAATTTAAAAATTCTGAGAAATTTCAAGATGGTGACAGCAACCCCAGTGGAGGGGGCGGGGTTCCTTCTGAGCACGGGTCCCCGTGCCACTGTCATGCAGTTGGTTCTCTCCAGGACTGTTGGGCCAGGGCTGCAGCTGAGGTGGCATGATGATTTAAGAATCAAGGAACACCTATATTCTATCATATCTTTCTTTCCATCAGCTTATCCTCCTGCTTCCACACAGCAGCCAAAGTGCTCTTTAACCTGCAAATAGTTCCACATCGCTCCCCTGCGTGAGATGACTCAGTGGCACCCACTGCTCCAGCAGCCAAGTCCCTAGTATGGCCCACCAGCCCCCTTGCAATCTGACCCCGCCTACCCCTCTCCCCTTGGGCTCCTCATTCTTCTCTCCAATCACAGTGCCCTTGTTTCATTTCCTCCAGGTTCCCAGGCTTCTCCCTGCTCAGATCTCTCACAAATGCTGTTCTCTGTGGTGAGAATACTCTTCCCCACCGGTCCTAACCTAGCTAACTTCTGCCTGTCCTTCAGGTCAGAGGTTAAACATCTCTTCCTCAGGGAAGCTTTCTCTGACCCACCTTGGGACACACTCTCCTGGTCACCCCTCCTTGTCATTCATAAATTTATGACCATGGTTCTTAAATGGCAACCACGCAATTATTGGTTTAATGCCTGTCTTCCCTGCTGGACTTAACACTTCTCTTCTTATTGCTTAGCACGGTGCCTGGAACACAGGAGCGGCTCACAAAGGGCTTTTGAATTAATGAACTCTGAAAACCATCAAATGAAGAATAGATGAAAATGTCAGGCCCTAGGTGTCCTCCTCTTGATTGAACTAAAGGAACTCCTAAATTAAAGGAACACATTGATTCCCAGAGCCCAGGGACCTGTTGGCCGAGCGCTCCATGTACAGACAGGTGGCATTTAAACCTCCCTTATATAAGAGGGGTCCATTCTTCACACTTTGTCCAGGGCAAGCCAACTGGCTCGTGGTGAGCTCATTGACAGCACTTACTTTTGCTCCCCACGGGCCTGACTGGAGGACGAATTGTGTGGACACTTTGCTTGGTTAACACTCAGGTCATTTCTTTTCCTGTTTCCCTTTCTCTGCTTAGCTGAGCTGATGAGAGACAGTGTCTGTGTTTTGGTGACTGTGGTATTAACGGCAAGAGCTTAAGTTATTAAACCGAGCAGCTGTAATCCGTGAGGTCTCCTAAAGCCCCGGGGATCAATGTATTTTTGCTCCAGAGCCAATGTAGCTATGCGGATGTGCTGGGGCTTGCTCCCTGCAATCCCCAAACTGGCCCTGTGGCCTTTCTCTGGACCTGCTCCCCAACCCTGAGAGACGTCATGGAGTTTTACCTGGAGATCGACCCTGTCACCTTGAACCTGATCATCCTAGTTGCGAGCTACGTCATCTTGCTCCTGGTTTTCCTCGTCTCCTGTATGCTGTATGACTGCCGGGGCAAGGACCCCAGTAAGGAGTACGCGCCCGAGGCCGCGCTGGATGCCCAGCCCTCCTTCCGCGTGGTGGTGATGCAGCAAAGCACCCCGGGGGACCCCTGGGTGAGGGGCCCCGGCCTGCATTTCGGAAACCCCACTCCTCCAGGGAAGAAAAGCACGATGGTGTGAGGCTGGCTGGGCGACCCTGGGGAGAGAGCACGAGACAGCCTGGACAAGCTATCCTCCAAGGGGCCGCAGCCCTCGCAGCACACAGGTCCCGCCCGGCCGCCGCCGTGGGAGCCCTGTCTTCCCTGCTGCTCCCTCTGCGCCCCGCGTGGATAACCCGCGTGCTTAAGGTAAGACACCCAAAGTGGTATGAGGTCAAGTTCTCTAGCTGCTGTTGTCCAGGGGAGCTGGTCACCGGCACATCCCCAGTGACGCCAGTTCTGGAGAGATTGGCGTGTGAGGAGGGGGTTCAAGAAGGCGGTGCCACGGTGTGTGTGTGATGGGGAGTGAGATGAGCTCCAGCGTAGCCTACGCTTAGCCAGTCCTTTCTTTTCAAGCCAATCACTGAGCCTTTCCAGACTCTTTAAGATTTCTATGTGCACCAGCTCCCCACGTCGTGTTTCCCGCTGTGCGCCAGCATGGAAACAGTCCTTGTAGAGCCTTGCAGCTAATAGACAAAGCTTGCAGCCTGAGTTCAAACTCTGCCCCCTCCCCTGACAAGCTGTGTGACAGGCCAGAATACTGGCTGTGTGACCAGGGCCACCGATCTGTGGCACAGAGCTATTGGTAGCTCTTGCAGGCTATTTGCGGAATTTAAGTAAGTTAATTCACCGAAAGCACTTGAGACAGTACTTGGCACCCCGGGTTAGCTGTTATGATGATTGTATTATTATGCTCCTTCACTCTCCTTCCCAAGAAGTTTAAGCTCCTCAAATCTGACCTGGTCCGATGCAGAACTACTGAAGGCTCCCAGCGCTGTGTTGTGGCCCGCAACTTGGCGTCTCCATCCCACTGAGCACTGCTCACTCTCTTCTCACTCCCTTTCATCATTGCCAGTAACTAGCACGTTTGTTTCCCTGCTCATTCATCTGTTGCCACAACTTTGAATGGTTGTCTCCACTGTGAGTGTGTTTCTATCAAGCCTCTCTTCCCCAAGCTCAGAGCAACCTACACGTTCACTTGGTTGACTGGCCGCACCTTTCTTCCGAGGAGGCCTTGTGTGGCAATACAAAGAAGTGAGTGTGCCACGGCCCTGCCCTCCGCCTCGGCCGCCCCACAGGAAGCGAGGGATCCGGTGTGACTGAGACAGCGAAGGACACGGAGGCATCGCCAGTGCGCTGCTAGAAATCTGGAGAGTGCGGGAGTCCGTAGAGAGACGAGTGCCCGGCATGTAAGAAGCGCTCGAGAAGCACGTGCATCACGTTGAATGGCCAGTTTCATCTCAGACTCAGGCATCAAAGATAAGATGGTTCGTCTGGAAAGAGGAGCAGCTACTTTCTAGAAAGACAGAAGTGTGCTGGGGGCTGGGAGCGTAGGACAGGAGACAGCGTCATAGAGACAAAAAAAAGCATCAACAAAGCTTGGAAACAGACCTTATCGAGGTCGCTGATTTTGAAAGCCCGGTGGTTTCCGAAACTGTGAAGGACGAAGAGAGAAGTTAAATGTCGATCTTTCCTACAGAAAACCGAAGGGGAGGGGCTGCCCTGCCCTGCGAGCTTCGGCGATGGGTATCCGTGAGCCTTTGGATTGTGAGGTAGTCATAACAAAAATAAAGATCGTTCCAGTTATTTTGTTTTCAGATTTATAACACTTATTTTTGGTTTTGTTTATGTTTTCTTAGAAAATCATGTTTTCTCTGAAAATATATGCTTTGAAAATTATATTAAAAATCCTTCAGGGGAATTTTTTTCTTTTATGGTCAAGAAGCCATCCCCCCCTTTAATAATGAAAATAGAAAAGGAAAGAGTATGCGGTCCATCCACAGGCAGCTTCTACGCCCCGCCCTCTCCCAGGTGTGACCCCCGCCTTTTCCTTTCTTTCCTCTGCCGTGGGAGTATACATATCAGTGGAGAAAAATCAGTGGACTAATAAGAGTGATGACAATAATTAATTTAGCTTTTGAAGAGAAAGATGAAATGCTTACCTCCTCTCATTTTAAAGTTGAGACATGAAGCAAACATCATCCAACATTTTGTAAAATATAAATATTCTCAATTATGTTTCCATGTCATGTTGGGACCAATTGATTAACAGAGATGGTGGGTAGAAAAATAAATTTCAAGCAAAAGAAAGCAAAGGAGCAGAAAAAAACAATCATAATAACAACAGATAAAGGGAACAGAACTAAAGTCAGGGGAGATTTTTTTTTTAAAGAAGAAGGAAACTACAAAGACTCTCAGATGAATGCCGGAATAAAAGGTATTAAGCTTTTCTAAGCCTCTGGTTCATTTCAAGTGTTTCATTTAATTTGTGTTCTTCAAGCAGGAACCAGCCGCACAGCATTTAAAACAACCTTTTCTGAATAGCGAGTGCGCTGAGAATCTGAAAGAACCACAGGGGTTTTACCAGTGAGGAAGCAGAGGGCAGAGTGATTTTCCCAACAGCGTTTGGCTTCAGATCTGGGACTAAAATCCTATTATTTCCATTTTCCTTTTTGTCTTCATAGCTCTTTCTAGAGCCCTGTCTCTTTCCTGCCTGTGTTTTTAAATGTTGGGATTTATTTCTTATTTTTGAACAAAGCTGTATTTCCCAATGGAATGATTAGTTGCGTTGCCGTGACCTTTGAACTAATGCCTTAAAACCTAGTGGAATGGATTGGCAGCTAGAACCAAGAAGCTACTTGAAACATTCAAATACTGCCTTCTCTCTGCTTCCTTATAGGCTTAGGATACCTTCTTTTGCCTACTTTTCATTCATTATTCTCCCGCCAGGCACCATTTTTATTAGAGCAGATGCAGTGTCCGACCTAACGTGGATGACGCTGTGGGAAGGACACAAACAGAACACGTCCAAAGTGAGGGGAGGCAGGGAGAGAACGGAGAGTTATCAGGAGTGTGTGCTACAGGCCAGATCCTCTCTATTCCTGTCTCACTGAACCCTCCCCCGGCCTAGGAGAGAGACACAATTAACACTAGTTTGACGATAAGGAAATGGAGGCGCAGGGAGGCGCTAGGATTTGTGCAAGACCACACAGCTGGTCCCCGGGGGAGGCAGGACTTGAAGTCAGTTGAAGACGTGTGGCCTTCTGTTCTCGGGGGGTTTTTTTTCTCTTCACAGCTGTTCAAGAAGACTAGCAAACCCGAGTTTGTTCCACCCCCTCTCTCACCCACGCTACAACTGCATGTCTGGGCGGCTGCTTAATAGTGTCGGTTAAAAATTCAAATGGTCTTTATGCTTTTTTCCCTCTGAATAAAATGACCGTGGATTCCAGCAGAAGAAGAGTGAATTGATTGTTGTGACTCGGCCAGAATGTTGTCTATTGGCGTTCCGTAAGACGCCGGGTGCAGTGGGCTAAGACAGGGCTTTGCACCCGAGACGCTGGGCTCAAATCTCCTCCTGTTGCGACCTGCTAGGGAGGCTTTTCTGTATCACTTAACTTCCTCCGTCTTTTTCTTCACCTTAAACATGAGTGTAATGTTCATGTTGGCAAGGTTTAGAATAACATACATGAAGTATCTTGCAGTTGGTAGGATTTCAACTAAATGGACACCACTATTGTTCTATCAGCAGATACAATGAAGATAATGGGGGCCCTCCTCCCGTGGAGGCCAGAGACTGCTCAGGCCGGTCAGGTCATTTCGGGGGGACCCAAGGCCGGGTGTGGAGGAAAGGCTGAGGTTGGAGAGCTGCCACGTGCAGTACACATTTGAAAGAGGAGGAAGTGTCTGTTACAGGTTAAACTGTGTCTCCCCAAAATCCATATGTGGAAGTCTTTCCCCCCAGTACTTCAGAATGGGATCTTATTTGGAAATACGGCCAATACTGGTGCAATTAGCTAAGGTGGGCCCTGAATCCAATATGACTAGATGTCCTTATTATAAAAAGGGGAAATCTTGACACAGACACACACAGAGACACAGGAAGAATGCCACGTGAAGCCTGGAGTTAGGTGACCACTTGCCAAGGAACTACCAGCAGGTGGAAGGGAGACCTGGAACACGTCATTCCCCACGCCTTCGGGGGCAGCGTGGCCCTGCCAACACCTTCATCTCGGGCTTTGAGCCTCCAGGCCTGAGAGATAGCACATTCTCACTGGTTAAGCCCTCAGTTCATGGTGCTCTGTTAGGACAATCCCTGAACACTAATGCAGTGTCTGAGAGGGATGTTTAGGACATGGGTGGGATGCTCAGCATTTCAAGGCCCTTTTGGGCAGTAACATACTTCTTCTGGATGGGACAGTGGCAGGCCGACTTGGGGCTTTGGGCAGAAGCTGGAAGGGCAAGCCATATCAGAGTGTCCTGGAATACAGATCCTGCACAAGCAGAGTAACCATTTGTTGTGTTTTTAAGGAGGATGAACCCTGGCTGGGTAGCTGAGTTAGTTGGAGCATTGTCCTGATACATCAAGGTTGTGAGTTCAATCCCTGGTCAGGGCACATACCAGAGTCAACCAATGAATGCATAAATAAGTGGAACAACAAATTGATATTTCTCTCTCTCTCTCTCAAATCAATTCATAAAAAAAGATGAAATAGAGTATAAACGTCTCTAAGAGGAGAATTACTTATTTCTCTAGATAATATGTAAAAGATATAGAACTCTCAGTTCTATAAAAAGCCACACGGGATAAGTGTCAAAGAAAAGATGTTATGGCGTCCAAGGGCAAACCTATGGGGTGGAAGCAAAAAACTAAATTTTTTTTTTAAAAAGCTCAGAACTAGCCCTAAAAAATCCAAGTCCCTCCAGATAGCTCATAGATACTTCAAAAGCCACTTAGTGAATCCCAGGCACATCATTTAATCTTCCTGAAAATGTGCAGGGGGCGGGGGAGGGAACCGCTGTTCTTATTTTAGAAACAAGGGTGGTGCATATTGTCTTGCATAAAATATTTAAGTTGACAGAGTCTGATTAGTAGGACTCAGAGATTCTGACTCAGTCCACCATGTGCCCTTTAATTCCATAGCTGCCCGGGATCCTTGCCGTCACAGAGTGTGTCAGCGTGCTGGACGCAGGAAGGCCACAGGTTCGTGACACGTCTCTCACTGCCTTTACTGCAGGGGAGCCCCAAATAACACAATCCCCTTGATGAGGGCAAAACCCCCTGAGAACCAGAGGGCAGACACAGTCCAGGCTCACTCAGGAGTATCAAGGACAGCCTTTCTCTCATTACTTCATCTTCCCTGAGAACAGAAGTGGTTGAATTACAGAAAGTAAGAGAGCATTTGTTATCTTCCTCTGTGGTAACAGCTCATTTGGACTTCGACCGCCTTGGGCTCTCCGTGTTCCAGATACACTCTTTGTGACACCAGGGTAAAGGAAGATCTGAGCTACTTCACAACCTCCCAAGATAGTGGGAAGTAGTCTGCCCATGTTTATTGTTTGCTCAAGGCTTCTCTGGACTCCACCGTTACCGCAGGAAACACCAGCCAGGGGCTGGCTCTCGGTTTGGTACAGCCTGGTGGCCTCCACTGCAATCTCAGGTTGACAGGCCCGCAAAGCTCTGAAGTTACCAGAAAGATGACGAACTGGCATGGGAGGGGGACAAGGAGCAAGAGAGAGACAAGTGTGCTGCTCCAAGGGAGGACGTAACCTCGCCCGAGAGTGGCTCTGTGGCAGAGACGTGGTCGCGGAATTTGGAGTCTGCACTGTTTGTCAGAATTGATAAGGATGTTCTTATCATGGAAACTTACCAGGGAAAAGTTGCATGCCGGGAGGGGAGGGAGAAAAGCTAACATCGTGACACAGTTTTGGAGAAGAGCTGTATGTAAGAGTCACTGGGCCCCTGCTCAGGAGAGAAAGCAGATCCAGACACAGAAACAAATGGTTTCTTTAATGGTAACGAGATTGAATTTAACAACTCTCGCCATCGAGAGGGTATCCCTTTGTCTAACCTAGATCTCTTCTGCTCTTATACATCACATTCACTATTCTCCCCTTTTCCCCTTTTGGGTTTTATAATGAAGCAATGTTAATACAGTGATTCATGTGAACATGTCTCATGAAAGAATCCAATCAGATTTGGTCACGAGGGGTAATTGAGTTCAGTAATTGCAGTTGGTTCATACCCACAGATGCATGCGGATCATCCTCCCCGTGCGTAGTGGACAGTACATTGGCGAATCACCATTACTTGTGAGGTGTGCTGCAAATCATGTATTACTAAAAATAGGCTACCTGAGTTTGTGAATGATTTACGTATTTTTATATATGGTACAAATCAATCGCCATGCTGTTATCACTTCTGTGTACTCCACTGCTTTTGCTCGTACAGCACAGACACAGGTGGAGTTACGCTAATGTGGAAGCAATTGCATATACCGACTGACCGCCATCCATCCATTCAACAGGTATCTGCAAAGCATCTATTTTGCACAGGCCTCGTCCCAGGCCTGGGGAATACATATGCACACGACAGATGCAAGTTGTGTGCTGAGGAAGCTTGCCAAGCAGCAGGAAAACTCACCAAGCACTTTGTCTAATATTTCCTGAATGTTCACTACAACCCTAAGCAGTACTCTCATTTTCCCACTTTTACACATTTTGGGCAGGGAAGACTCTGAAGCCCAATCTTTGACCCAGTGGTCTCCAAACACCTGTGAGCATACATTCCTTTCAGCAAAGAAAATCTTAGTACTCGCCTATGTGCGGGTGTGTATGTATATGTAAACATGTACATATATATTTAAGTGTACATTTACATATATTTAAATATGCATATATTTAAATGAGTACAGGTTCATAGTTACGTATTATATGTAAACATATGCATATATTTCTAAATTACATGTACATTACATGGATCTTACAGAACCTCACGGTGGAGCTCACTGCTCTGCACATTCTACACCACCTCCTGACCTTGTCTTTGTGTAACAGGAACACATACCTCCAATCTCCCCTCACCTAACCCCAGGGTTTTGCCCTGGATGAGTGGGTGTGGGAACCCCATCTAAGGACTTGGTCTAGAAAATGGTTTTTTTGTAAAATGAAGAGCAATATTTTTCCAGTTATTTTAGTACAGAGGATTAGATCTTTGTACTGCTAAGGATGTTTTGGCAGAATTCCCTGATCAGTTCGTCTGTTAGTTTGTAAATCTCCTTATTTCTTTTGAGTTTTTTTCTGGCTGGATCTTAAGTACCTCTGCAAATGAATGAGTGTCTTGTATATTGGTTCCAACTGCCCACAGGACCCAGTAAAGGACTGAACACAGTAGGAAGTCTCCATCCTTTGGCGATGACTTTGTTGGGAAAAGGAAGAATTTTTACTTCAGTTGTGGAGTAGGAACTACTCCCCTGTGAAGACAAAGTGTCCCAGGCACAGCAGGGAGGAGGCTGGGCTACTCTGATGTCCCTAAGCACAGGGACTAGGAAAACACAGCAGATTCCATGTAATGCAAGCAGCTGAGATGATGCACAGTGAAGGGGAGGGCAGAGAAACCAGATCAACAGAAACGAGTCCTTCGGCCGCTCTACGCATTCTGGCCCCAGCACCACCCCAGTCACCCTTGTTGCCTCTATACTTTTTCCTGTAGGGAGACCACCAGTCATGCCTGCAGGTCTCTCCTTGATTTGGTACTGCCCATGTCTCCGAGTCCTTAGACTCCAGGTGTGCTTCTCATCCACATGCTTATCCTACGTTTGCCCCCACCCCACAGCCTGGAGGCTCCTGCTTCAGTTGCTAATGGTGGCCTACTGGCTACCTCCTGGGAGGCATTTGACTTCTCTGTCTCCTCTACAGAAAGAAAGCCTGGAAGTTAATGCACAACCCTCCAAGGTTTTTCTGGCTCTGGCATTTCTGACCCTTCCTTTTTCCTGACCTTTCCTCTGTCTTCCCACCGTGACCCCTTAGAATGAAGCAATTAGTGACAACGGGATTTGCTCTGAAAAACTGCCTGTCGTTGGGGCCTTGTTGATCAGGGGGCTGCAAAAGGAAGCTTAACAGAGGGCTGAGTCTTTTGCTAGCACGGGAGGCATGCGCATCCCCCGTTTTCTAACATATTTTCCATCTGACATTTCAAATAACTGTCCCCACGTTGGTGCTTCTTCAAATCAAGGTCTGTTTTGCACTCTTTGGAAGGAGCGTAAGCCGTGACAAATGGTTTCAGTTGAGGCATATGGTGATGCACTGGTTTCCTAGTTGCTGGGGTGTATTAACAAACTTATTGTCCCCAGCTGTAGAAATAATGAATTTACCACTGCGCCTGGAACGTCAACAATGTGGAACAGATTCGAAGTACCAGAGCCTGGGAGACCATCCTTCATTTTTAGTAGAACATTGCCTTTTATTTCCATGCTAAGTACCTTTCCATTGACTTCCCCTAAAACCTTGTTTTGAGATGGTTGCAGTGATTAGGAAGTAAAAATTTTTTTTTGTTGTTTCTTTTTCAGTGGGTGTGTTAGTTAGACATTGTGCTCAGCTATGACTAACAACACACCAAATACAGAGGCTGAAACATGATGGGGACATTGTGCTCTCTCCTGCAGCCTGACATATAATTGCATGCTTGTTTTTATTATTATTCATTAATATTTTTCTGATTATAAAAAGGAATTCCTATTCATTGGGAAAACTTTGAGTGAAGGATAGAGAAGAAAATAGGAATCACTCATACACCATTACCCAGAGATAATCACGACACTGTTTAGTTACATTTGTGCCAGTTTTATGTATATTTTACATATTCATCATCATAGGGCGGGTGTAAGATGGTACCTTTTCCAATTTCTAAATAAAAGAAGTGAACTTGCATACGGCCCTACCTAATGTGACCCTGCGCCCTCGTGACATGCCATTCCACACCATGGCTGCCATGCTGTTTGGAAGGCGCTCAGGGCAGGAGAGAATGAAGAGCCCGAACTGGTTTTCTCCTCCTCTGCTTCTGGGAGACCATACGGCAGATTTGGCTTACTTCTCACCCTCACTCTAAGGCTATATCATATGTTCTCCTTTCTGTATTTTTCCATCCTCAAAAATGTCAAGTGTTCATGCCAGAGTTAAAATGATTCTTCAGGGAACGTGAGCTGTCATACCCGTTCTTACCCCATGGCTCACAGAGGCGCATTTTGCCCTGACTTACAAATTCATAAGATCCCAAAGCTAGACAGGGCCCGTGTGCCCCATCAGCCCCAAGCCCTCATGCGACAGCAAAGGGAAGCAGAAAGGAAAAGCGCCCTGCTGCTCACAGGCCCAAATGGCATGGTCAGTACCTTCCCAGAGATCTCCCCCTCTCCTTCAGATGCTGAGGATGATGCCACTAACTGGTAAATTTCAAAGCTGTCACACCTCCAAAAAATACGTACAACCAACTGCAGGCAGTGTTAAAGTCATTAACTGAGGTCTGGAAGTTTATAACTTGCTTAGGGTTGCATTTCTCAGATTGGTGATTCCATGTACTATACCCGGATTTTCAGAGTGGATTCAGGGGACGTCAGCGTGATTAAGCCATTGTGAAGTTCTTTATCAACCTTTCTTCTCATGGTTTCACCCGCTGTTGGTCATTGCCTGAATTACTGCATTAGAGGTTAGAAAAGAGTTCCAGCTGTATCATTTCTTCTGCATTCATTGGCTGGAATTCTTTTGTAGAGGAGAATGTCTCTCATAACTAGGGCTCAGTTACTTGCAGTGCAGTTCACATAGGAAGAACAGAGTAAATGCTTAACTCTTTCCTCTTAATGGTCCATTGTCAGAGTGGGGACTTGAAAGCCTAGTGACCTTCAGTGGCATCCAGGGTTTTGTTCATTTGTTTGTTTGCTGAGGTTTCCAGTTTGCTTGTTTTTAAGTGGGGAGATTTCTCTTTTTCTTTCTTTTTAGAAAAGTTTGATATCACTGTGAATTTATCAAGTTCTTATATGTTAAATGTAAATTCATTTATAAAACTAATTATCCTAATAAATTTGAGGCTCTCCATATTAGTCAGGGTGCTCCAGAGAAACAGAACCAATGGAATGTGTGTGTATACACCTGCACACACATACACATACAGAAAATGCGAGAGGGAGAATTTGTTTTATTCTAAGGAATTTGTTTACATGATTGTGGGGCCTGCCAAGTTCAAACTCTGCAGGACAGGCAGGCTGACTGGAGACCCAGAGAAAAGGTTATGTTGTACCCTGAGTCTAAAGGTTTCTGGAGGCAGTGATCCCTGAGTCCTTTTATCTTAAGGCCTGCAACTGATAAGGTGAGGCCCACCCATGTTACGGAGGGTAGTCTGCTTTTCGCAGACCTACTCGTTTAAATGTCAGTCTCATCTAAAAAAATACCTTCACAGCAACACGTCACTGAGGTTTGGTGAAATATCTGGGTAGCATGGCCTAGCCAAGTTGACAGTTAAAATGAGCCATCACATTACCTCTATATATGAAAAAATAAACTAACAGTACAAAGCAGGAAGTGCAACAGGAGTGACAGAATGCATGCTGACAGAGGGAGTTCGAAGACACAAAAGAACACTTGGGCTGAACAAACAAGGCTTATGTTAGCAATTCCTCTGTGTTGTCCTGGCTCGGGTGTGTCCCTGAGCATTAGCAAAAATGACCCCCACTCTGCCACTTCTCATAAAACCTTGCATATTTTACATGAGTTCAGTGAGTTTCAGAATCTTCATCTGAAAAGCAAGAGTAATAACCACCGTCCTATCTAAAGTTATTGTGCATATTAAAGCTTTTAAAACTTGACATGCTACACAAATACAAGGTATCATTAGACCACTTTGTGTTAAGAACCAGTGAAGCACAGAGTGTCACACAAATGTGCTCTGGTGCTACAGCTACAAGTGTAATGCCACACTGGGATGTGCAAAGACTTCCTCTTCGTTTGGAGAGGCCGTCATTCTTGGGCCCCACATTTACAGAAGAGGGGAAGCTGTCACTACCCTAAGGAAAGAAGAATCAGAGTGCTAATTTTCCACATCAATGCCTCCCCCTATAAATTCATGTTTCCCCGAGAGTCCCCAGTTCTCCATGTCAACAACGTAGCTTTGGCAAATGCAAAAGACGAATCAT